TAATTACCTCAAAGCTTCTGCAGTCGACAAACAAACCGGTTAGCTCTCCTAGTCAGCAGGCTGCTGGCTATCCTCGCCAGGCTTATTTTTGTTACCCGACATACTGTGCGATTGGCGAACAGGTCTACAACTATTACAACGAGCCAAATTCGAAATTGGAAAGCCGATCGATCTGGAAATAAAAGCATCGCTAGTGAAAGATCTGTGGGAGGAATTGGGAATCAAGTGCATGGAAATGGAACTGCAACATCCCTGCTTTTATTTTCTGGAGGAATCGAGGCTGGTGGTGATTTTTTGGTGGAATTATTCACTTCGGGCGACGGACACTTCTAAAATAGGTTTCCGGCCTTGTCTTTTTTTTAGCAGTTGAACACCAAAATAGCGCCAACTCGCCGAAAACGCTTCAAAATGGCCTGAGACGCTGGTAATCAACAAAGAAAACATCAAGGCAATAAGGTAAGTCCATTTTATTTCAAAGACATTTTTTCTCTCTTTTAAGGCAAACCGATAGCATCCCATACAGACCTTTATAAATATAAAAGGTTGCGCAACATTGTAAGAGTCACGTCCGCTTTTCTAGTAGTGAGCTTAGCCTGTCTGTGATCAAAAGTAAACATATGACATGAATCAGTGATAAACTTACCGATTCGTTAAACGCGAGAAATGTCACAAAAATCCAGATCAGCTTATTAGTCGAAGACAACCAGCAGCTTGAAAAAAAGAAAGCAAGAAGAGCAATCAAAGAAAATTTCCTCCCAATGAAACAGTACCTCTTTTAAGGCATCTGCATTCCCTTGCAGAAGCCAATCATTTTCTAATCATTTCTCACTGGTGTAGCTTTGGAGTCCATCTTTTCCAGTTGCGATGCCCAATGACATGCCCACCATGACGATAGGAAGGCCTTCAAATAGAGAGACAGAAGAATGCACTGTATGTCGGGGAATCATAAACCAAATAAGGCGGTAAATATTCATAAATACCCCATGACATGACGTGATACATGTGCATCTTGGTGTTGATATTGTACACCTTTACAACAAACAGGTAGAGATAAATTCCCTCGACCAGCATCCAGCAGAAAGCGGCCATCAGGAAATACTGCATAAGAGCTGCTGCTGTGATACAGGCAGCCTGCAGGAAAGAAAGAAAGGAAGAACACAGAAGTACCTTACCCGGCTGCAAAAAAGACAATTTCTTCAGTGAATGTTGGAACATGTAACACTTACCATGTATTCTGTGGTGTTTATCCCGACGAGAAAAATAATCTGTCCAGCTCCGAGGGACGCAGAAAGACTTAAACGTACTTGTGACAGAGGTTGACGAACATCTCTGACGAAGAAACAAAAATAAATAAAAAAAGAAAAACAAAGAGGAGAGCAAGAAAAATCATATGATAATAATCAGAAGCAAAATTAAAGTCAAGGGAAAAAACGAATATACAATAAACACAAAATATGCGAATAAAGGGATTAGATATTCAACAGTGCTAGTGTATTTGGTTGCAAAGAAATTGGAAGGCACGCTCTTGCTATTTCATAGTTACGTTAAGTTTTTTTTTTTTTTTTTCAAATTTCTTTCATGAATTAAAATAACAGAAAGCAGATGAGCTATGTTGTCACTGATAATATTTCCTTGTTCCTTATCAAATATTTTATAGATTGGCTATCCGAGCAGGAAGATGGGCCGATCTTGCCCACTCGGGATTATCCACATGGACCCCTTGTTCCTTTTTGTGTCCATAAAAACGAAAAGAAAGAACGTGGCCATGCAATATCCAGCCATCTTGACCTCATGCTTGGTCAATAATTAACGCACATATATTTTACGGACTTTAGTCACTTATCATCCAATCCAATAAGCAGCAAGTTTTATCCAATCGTAGTTGCCAAGAGTGATTTTTTTCGTGACTGTTTTTTGCACGTTGTGGCCTGCTTTATAGAAAAGCTTCAAAGTCATAACTGATTGTCTGGCAACAGTGCTTACGTAAGGAAAGAATACAGGATGATTGTCAAAAGCATCCCGACGATAGAGAGGCTTAATCCTATGTAAGTGATTGTCTCCAGAATAGTTCCGTCCTTCTTGGTGAGCTGCATTAGAAATTAGAAAAAAGAAATGCAGAATTGATTAATTGACCAAACAGATGAAGTACTTGGAGGTAAATTCGAAAATACGTAACTACATTTTAAAAAATATCTTTGTGCCACCACTGTCAAAGTGAACTAGGACAGCAAAGTAAGTCAAATGATTGCATCTACAAACTGTTTCCACTGAGTTGCTCTTCGCTGAATCTACATGACAACCTTCGTCTGTGAACCCGTCTGGACTAAAAAGAGTTAATTAATGAATATGATAAATGGAAAAAAAAAATATGTGCGATAGGCAATCGGAGTTTTCAAACAAGCAGAGTGTTAAAAGACCTATTTGAAGGAAGGCTTAGTTTTTTAAGGTACATTTTGACCGTCAAAATACTCTCACCCCATTCTTTATAGGTAAAATATATGATAAATATTCATTTCAGGTACAAAATATCTCTGGCGGCAACAGAAAAACAGATGAAAAATCTATGGTATTAATTTAATTTTGGACGTTGAGGAAGAAACTAATTTTAAGATAAAATTATTACTCAGTGTCTATGCATTTTACCTATTGCTATAGCTGCTCCAAAATATGCAGCGCTTCTCTGCCTCGACCACCTGAGAAAAGATTTTATTTCGTTTGAATCAACTCAACACAACATAGAAAAAGAAGTGAAGTTATCTCTCAGTGTTCTAAAAAACTAATTACCTCAAAGCTTCTAAACTTCAAGATGACATCGTGCTGTAATTTTTCCGGCCTAGGATCCATATCTGCGGTCATTATCCTGGTGTTCACAAACATGTAACGAACATTTTCCTAAAATTTTCGATGGTAAGCTTACTAAGTATATTTTCTAAAAATGAAGGAAATGTGTCTTTTTTTATAGGAACGAGCAAGCCTTTAAAGACAACTAACGGTGTTTGATTAACTGAGTTAAAAGCTATCGAGTTACCGTGGACATCCAAACGTACTAGAAAGTATCATTCAGCAGAAAATAGGCTAAAACAAGAGTGTGAGGCTTTTTTAGACAACTCTATTGGTTGTTAAGAAATCTATTTTGAAGTTGGACAATAGGAAATGTCTCGCTGAGAAGTGACAGGAAAACTTTCGTTAAGGCCTCACACCCTTTTTGGCATTAATATCTGACGAATACTCCATCCAAGCTTCATCGAAAAACATAACCTATTCCGTGACAATCCATGACTGTGTTCTGTTTTGATATAAAGTACGTGGAAGGGGCTAGAGCACGAAAGAAGTGTAGGGAGAAACACGAGACGTAGTCGAGTGCAGATCGAGATCCTGAACGAAACTCCACGTTAAATGTCACCCCTGCTGAAGACCCTAACACGAATCATTAAACCTCACACTATTTGGTACCAGCTATCCTATAGCACTCTTTTAGCCGTAGGTCGCTTTCTTTTGTTATAATATTCAGTATATTTTCCTGCGACAAGAGCAAAAAAGAGAAATTTTAAAAATGTTGACAAAATATTGCTGAAAGTGACGTACAATAAAACATCCCATATTCGTTATTAAGGAGAAGTAACCTTTATAAACTGTTCTCCTCCACTGTCAAAATAAAAGTTAATAGTAAGAATAAGAGTTTATTTCTAGTTCGAATTGCAATTGTCATCAAATTTAGAAGAAAAAGCTGTATTCTGATTGGCTGAATTCCTACGTCTTGGCACATACTAATAACTCAAAGCAGACCTGCTCAACTTTAACCAGTTCTCAAATATTTCATGCATCAAGCTGACCTTGTATTGTCAGTTTCATTTCCAACAGATTGATGTGTCAGCAGTAGTTTGTGAAGATCCTTGTACACACACTCCTATGATCACTGACCCTGAAAAAAAAAGAAGACAAAAAAACATATGTGCAATGTATAGGTAAATGCCGCAAAGCGAACTCTTAATCTTGAGAGGTAATTTATGTTTAATGAAATTTGAGTTCGTACGGGAATCTTGCCCAAAATATTATCGAAAATCAAAGCAGACTCTACTAGTGTTTAACTCTCTTAAATTAATTAATGCTTAACTAACCAAGCCAACTAATTGTTACTTTTACACTGAATATTGCATCATACATTATATAATTATTTTACCCAAACACTCTGCTAGCAATTATTATCTTAGGCTTCCTATTTTCTTGTTATTTTTCTGCTTGATTTTGACATCATAAAAATACCAGCACAGTGCGTGTTTGCTGTTCCTTCGTCTTAAATATTCACCTAAATGCAAACTTATACGGTAAGAATATCAATTTTGACGACCATTACTGCTAAAAACAATTTTGCTAGTCAATGAGGGAAAACGTAGAAGTACTACAAAAATAAAACAGAAATCGAGAACAAAATAATATTGCATGAAACAGATGGTTGATACAAACCATTATCGGCAAAATTTGCAGAAGATATATTGATGCTCGCTTGCCATTCTTCTTCCTTGAGAAGGAAGTCACTTCCGTTTTGACCGTGGCCTAATTGAATAACCACAACTTCCGGAAGGAGGAGAAGATAAGTGAGATAACGATAATGTATGTGTAGGTGCGCGTTTTATATGAATTTGATACGGATGTTAAGGTACATATGTAGACAGGACCGAATTAAGATTGCCCATATGCAATTGGGTTTCATAAGGTCTAGGAGAATACGATTTTGCGATGAGTCGCTTTGCAGAACTTCTCAAGCTTCTTTGCAATAGAGTCCTAAAGTGCTTACGTCACGTTTCCATAGCACCGGAATTCTGTGGTCTAAACAAACCAATATGGCGTCCCTAGCGTGACACACTGTCGTTGACCTCGAGCACTTCAAGAGCTATAATAGCGCATTTTATCCTCCAATAATAGAAATAAGATAAAGAGAATCAAGATAACCTTTGGCCTTACTATTGAAGAGTATAATAAGCGGACAAAAGCACCTGGTGAGCAATAATTCGAGTCAAAACGCCACGGAGACGAAGTTTGCGATGGGCCAGTGTTTTCATCCAGATTGCAATCACACATCTGAAAGCCACTGCTGCCGATTCTTTTCGTTTCCAGACCAGAAAAAACATAAAACACTCTATGATAAGTGGATATCATTTGTAAGGTGAGTATTTTTCGAAAAATATATATTTCGATGCTGTACCATCGATTAGAAATAGCTGTTTTTTTTTTTATCTCAAACTGATTCACGATTAGCTGTTTCTCTTTCTTGTCTTATTT